ACTTTTTGTAAAATATCTCATGCTTTCTGAACTTGTAAATATAAGTTTGTATAAGAGTTAATACTCAACTGACAACAGTTATCTTATATATTTAAGAAAATTTTATTACAGACAACATTCCCAATATGTTGATATTGGATACAACTATTAGGGATGATAAAAAAATTTGTGACCCGCCAAAACAGTCAGCCCTGTTAGAGACAATTGCAAATTTTTTAACCGAAACCAAACAGAACCGGATTGGTTTATAGCAAGTTTTTTGAATCTATCTGACCTGGGTGGGAAGGTTTGGGTTTGTACTGCAAAAACCCGTCTGAATCTGACTCAACATTATCTATTAATTAAAAAAGAAAAAATATATATATACTAACTAAAAGTATATAAAAAAGAACCCTAAAACACAAGTATTCCAGACTGTACTTCCTCCCCTCGACACAGCAGGCTGCCTCCTTTATCTTCTTCCTTCATCTTCATCATCATCTTCACACTCCAGCAATCTAGTGGAGACACTGTGAGCATCTTCGGCTTTGCAAATCATAGGGTTGTCACCTCCTTCACAGCTTCACTCTCCGGCGCCATTCAGCTGTCACACCACGAGCATTTTTGGTTTCCCAAATTGCAAGGTTGTCACCAGGGTGTAGTGTGACGGGTTTCATTGTAAAGTTGCATGGGGCAAAAAAACCTTTTTTCTACAAACCTACCTCAAGTTTAGGCTGGTATCAGGCAGTGTATTATATACACGGGGCATGTTCAGTTTTGGTCAAACCTATCCCAAACCCTTCCCTATTGTCACCCCTAACGATTATACAAATCTATAATGGGCGTATCTGAGTATTTATAAGGATAAAAAACTTGGTACGATACATCATATGAAATCGGGTAAATTGCGTGATGAATTGCAGCAAAAAGCTTATTAGATTCTATGTCCAGTAAAATTGAATTGCACTTAAAGTGACTATAAGTGTGAGTTCGACCAATTTGACCTTAAAAATAGGTAAGACAGATAATATTGATGGACACTCGTAATCAGGGTGTGTGAGAGTCACGTGCGTCTCTGGTCACTGGTGAGGGTTGGTTTTCTCACAAGGGCTTGTCTAGCGATGGAAGTTCAGGAATGCTTTTCATTGTTGTTTGTGTTGGCTGGGAATGTGATAAACTAATCTGTTCACTAGATAGTTTAAACATAGAAGAAATTTACGTGAAAAACAAAATAAATAGATTAACCGAGAAAATTGTAAATAAAGAAAAGAAAATATGAGAAAAAATAATTAGCAATATGGAACAAAGTGAAATAACAGAGAATAAAGCCCTAGAAAAAAGAATTATTAATTTATCATCGTATACCCTCTTTGTCAGTAGCTAATAAAAGCACTAACTTTAACCACTATGAAAAATTATAAAAGAAAAATCTACAAGATTCTTTTTTATATTATTTAATCAACTTAAAAGAAAATTAGAATGTAAAACACCTAAACAAACCTATATGGTATAAGTAATTTAAAAATACGATAACTAAAAACCTTCATTAACGTTCTAGTTTGCATCAGCATCACCCTGTTCTTTAGGTGAGACTTTGAGGAAGGAAGCATCAAAGTCAGCTTCTGGTTTAAAATTCTATAATAAATCTGTACTAGTTCAAAAAGACTAAAGCTTAACGATGGAAAAACAACTGGGACTGGTCCGCCGGCTAAAATAATCATTTACCAGTGAAAATTTACTGAAGTAAATCAACAGGGAATGAACTGGTAGAAACAATGTAACGCCATGTTAAATTTGAACAGATTTCTCCTTTAACTTATAAGGGGTATGGACCTGGAAGCACATTTTTGGTATCTTCGTAAAATAATATCCTAGTTTTAGTGGTAAGCTTAAGCATCTATTGGATGTCTATTTAATGGGTGATTTATTCATTTCTTTAGTATAGTTACCTGAATATCTTGGCCGACTACAAAAAGCTACAGAATCTTAATTGGTTGAATAAATTAAGGGAATGAAAAATATATAGGAATGGAGCAGACACTATCATTTGATCAGGTCATGACTTTGACATGTAATTCTTCATAAACAGTCAATCTTATACCAGGACACCTCCAATGGAATTGTCATGTCGTTGAGACAGTAGCAGAAAATGAGAAGAAAAGAAACAAAAGCCGGGGTTTCATAGTGAAAAGAATAAAGGGTAAAAATGAAAAGACTGATAGAAATGGACAGGTAGACTGCCTAGATCAAAACCCTAAAATAAAATGTCTACATTTTCCTTTTCTGTTTAAAGGTTGAGGACAGCTAGTGGACTCTGACAATTCTAGAGACCACCCTCATCCTCTTTTCATTTTTCCCTGTATGTATATATATTCCTAAGGTTCCATTCAATAAATATAAAACAGAAAATTAAGGAGCATTAAATGCCCTCTACCTTACCCGGTTAAATTTTTAGATGGTATCAGAGCAGTGCCTGTAATAAGCACTAATTATTCCGATTTCTACATTACAATATTACCTTACAGTTCAATGGCAAACCCTAATACAGATGTGTTGACACTCCTAAACTCAGACCAGCTTAGAATGCAATTTGTCACAACCACACTTGATGGATCCAACTACTTGTCTTGGAGCCGAACCATGGTGATCACATTGAGAGCCAAGGACAAGCTCACCCTCGTCGATGACATATGCAAAAAGGCCGAACCCGATGCAGCAGAATATAAACAATGGCACAAAACAGATAGCATGGTGATGTCTTGGATTCTGAACTCGATGAACAAAGAGCTCACTAGCGTCTTCCTGTTCACTACATCAGCAAAAAACCTGTGGGATGAAATAAAAAAAAGGTATAGTGAAAGCAATGGACCTCTGTTGTATCAACTAAAACGCGAAATAAGTTCCATCACGCAATCTAACCTTTCTGTCACAGCCTATTATACAAAACTCAAAAGGCTATGGGATGAGTTAACACACCTAAGGCCCTTACCTACTTGCACCTGCCATGCTACAACACAACACAATGAAATAGACAATACCGACAACTTAATCCAATTTCTAATGGGTCTTAATGACTAATACGACCAAGTTAAAAACCAAATATTGATCATGAAGCTCTTACCCGAAGTGAATAGAGCTTATTTTATGGTGATTAGTGTTGGAAAACAGAGAGAAGTACACAATAGTAACTCACCTGAAAGGACACCCGTTGCATTTTATACCAACCTGAAAGACAATCCAAAATTCCCAAACCGAAAAAAGGAAAAGGACAGCAGGACATGCACTTATTGCAAAAACATAGGGCACACGAAGGACACATGCTTCAAGTTCCATAGCTACCCAGAATGGTTTACAGAATTCAAAGGGAAAAGGAACAAAGAAAAAGCTAATGCAGTGGCAAACAATGCCCCCTGATAACACCAAAACAGAAGCATTCAACACAAACTAAGGCACATAAATGACCACACTCTTACAACAAGAAATCAGCAAGTACATGAAAAACCAAGGAGCAAACACGGCAGAATCGGCAGGGTGCGTGGGCTACTTTGGCCTCCCTAGTAAGCAACTTAAATGCTGTTTTTTACATGCCTTTAATGACATAGGAACTTAAATAATAGACACAGGTGTCACATCACACATATGCCATGATTTCAAAATACTTTTAGAACCCGTAAAACTAAAATCTGCAGTGTCTGTCTCGCTATGAGACGGAACCACGAGTTATTCAACCCACAAATGAACCATAAAACTGTGTGACAACTTAATTCTACAGGATGTCCTCTATATACCAAAATTCACTTGTAACCTTATTTTGTCAGAAAACTAACCCAAAGTTCAAATACCTACATTTCCTTTTATCCCAGCTATTGTTTTGTGCAGGATTTGACAACTAACAAAATATTGCGGAATGGAACAATAATAAAGGGCTTGTACATCCTGAGTGAAGACATTGACTCTAACAAAGCATGCATCAGCCACACTCAAGAAAACAACCTACAACTATGGCACAAAAGACTCGGCCACACATCCACAAAAAAATTGATCCACATTTCCAGTCTAAAGTTACCAGGCAGTACAGCTCTACATGATTGTGAAATATGTCCATTGGCAAACAGCAGCACTTGTCTTTTTCTAAAAGTTTCATCAATACCAGTGACATTTTTAGTTTAATACGTGCCTTTGGAGACCATACCCGATCAATTATATCTTTGGTGCACTTTATTTTTTAACCATAGTCGATGATTTCTCAAGAGTCACTTAAACTTATTGATTAAAAGAAAAAACAAGTGTACCAAATACCTTGAAATATTTTTACAATCTAATACAAAATTAATTTCAGAAAACAATCAAAACAGTTAGAATAGACAACGGCACTGAGTTCATAAACACTTCATGCAAAATCTTTTTTCAAAAAAAGGGAATTATGCATAAAAAAACTTGTACATACACACTACAGCAAAATGGGGTGGTGGAGAGGAAACATAAACACCTATTACAAATTACTAGGGCATTGATGTTTGAATCAAAACTACCAAAAGGTTTTTGAGATAAAGTTATACTCACAGCCACACACATAATAAACGTTTTGCTAAGCTATGTTTTAAAATGAAAAACTCTTTATGAAATTCTGTACAAAAAACAGCCGGATTATTCAAACCTAAAAGTCTTTGTTTGTCTATGTTTTACTACAAATGTTACCCCTCAAAAAGACAACTTTGAACCCAGGGCTTTGAAATGTGTTTTCTTAGGGTATGCACCCAATGCGAAGGCATACAAATTATATGATATAACAAATAGAAAAAACGGTTTTGTTAAGAGATGTCATATTTCATGAACATATTTTCTCATACCAAACAGAACACCCTAAAACAGACTACCATGACACACCACTGTCAATACCAAGCGACGACTAATAACCACACCTGAAAACCAATAACAAAGAAGAGAAGAAACTCCCTTACCAACCATCATTCCCCAAGAGTCTGAAGTAAGGAGGAGCATCAGGGTGAGAAATAGGCCCGCTTGGAATGAAGACTTTGTCGCCCATACTACAGAACAACCCCTGTTAATTTCATTGCACAAGTGTCTATTACAAAAGAACCAATGTCATACAGGGATGCTAAAAACGGGATAGCAAGTGGGTTGAGGCCATGCAAGCCGAGCTGTCCGCACTGGAAGAAAATAGAATATGGGAACTAACTGCACTACCAAAAGGGAAGAAGGCAATCGACTCAAAATGGGGGCATAAAATAAAATATAATGTCAATGGATCAGTTGATAAATACAAACCAAGACTCGTAGCTAAAGGTTACAACCAGGAGTTTGGCATAGACTCTCACATTAGCTTCTCACCAGTGGCTAAAATGGTCATGGTTCGACTACTTTTAGCAGTAGCAGCCGCAAGTGACTGGCCAGTATACCAGTTAGACATTAATAACACATATCTACATGGGGTTTGTGGAAGAGGAGCTATACTTAAAACCTCCAGAGGGCTACTTCAAGGCTAGTGAAAGGCAAGTCTGCTGTCTAACCAAGAGCCTGTACGACCTAAAATAAGCAGGTCGCCAGTGGAGGAAAGAGCTCACTTCAAAGCTCCAATCCATCGGCTTTACCAAGTTAGAAGTCGACCACTATCTATTCACAAAAGGAAACTACATTGTGTGGTATATGTAGATGACTTACTTATCACGGGTCCTAATGATGAAGAGATTTACGAAGTCAAAAGCGCTATGAATGAAGCTTTCACAGTCAACGACTCGGCTAAGCGAGATATTTCTCGGAGTCGAGATAGCTAGGTCAAAAGAAGGGATCTACATCAGCCAAAAAAAATACACCAGAGATATTCTACAGATACAAAGATGGAAGATGCAAAAGGAAGCCACTTTCTCTGCCTTCCCGGACTAAAACTAAATACAGAAGAAGGAGAAATCTTTACCAGATCCGGAACGATAAAAACGCTTAATCGGCCGCTCACTTTACCTCAACTTCACCAGACCCGACATAACATACTCCACCCAACACCTCAGTCAGTTCATGCAACAACTCAGACGGCCGCACCTCGACGCCGCACTACACGTTGTTAGGTACCTAAAGCAATATCTGGAGCAAGGCATCTTCTTCCCGAGAAAGAATGATTTTAAAGTTCAAGCTTTTTGTGATTCAGACTGGGCATCGTGTCCGATGACCCGCAAATCACTCACGGGCTTCTGTATCTTCCTCGGACCTGCACTAATCTCCTGAAAAATAAAGAAACAAACTACGGTGAGCAAGTCTTCCGCAGAGGCTGAGTACAGAAGTATGTCATCCACGGTATGTGAAGTTCAATGGATAACCTATCTGCTTCAAGACTTTCAAATAATACCCCACTTACCCGTAATATTGAATTGTGACAACAAAGTCGCCGAGCATATCGCAGCAAATCCGGTTTTTCATGAACGAACAAAACACCTTGACATCGACTGCCACATAGTTCGCAACCAGGTTCAAAAGGATTTCACCGAAACGAAACATGTAACCTCGAGGGAACAGCTTGCCGATCTGCTCACAAAACCTTTAGGAACTTTAGCACATCACCGACTTCTGTTCAAGATGAAACATCTGCAACAAGAAAGTTCAAAGAGTCAAAAAAGAGATAGTGAAGAACTCGAAGAGCCGAAAGCAAACTGACTTCATCTTGAGGAGCGAGTGAAAAGAATTAAGGGTAAAAATGAAAATACTGATAGAAATGGACAAGTGGACCGCCCAGATTAAAACTCTAAAATGAAGGGTTTAGATTTTTCTTTTCTGTTTAAAGGTTGAGGACAGCTGGTGGTCTTTCTAGAGACCACCATAATTCTCTTTTTATTTTTCCCTATATGTATATATATTCCCAAGGTTCCATTCAATAAATATACAGTAGAAAATTAATGAGGATTAAATCTTCTCTGCCTTACCCGGTTAAGTTTTTTTACACATAGGCATAAGAAAATTGCTCCAGACGTGTCAACCGTCCAGATCGCATCTATGGCTTAGGGCAATTATCATGTATAAAGTAAACATAAGCCATGTATCTAGAGCTTGAGCGTCCATAGAATTCAAAGCATGAGATAACAACAGCACATACAAGGCTTTTTTAAAGTTTTTTGCCTTTTAACTTAATGGGTCCCAGTAACACTTTACCTATCTTTTGTTGATGGATGAAACAGACCAGCTATTTACAAGTTTTTTCACTAAAATGACAGCACTTTTATTTCTTCCACCACTTAATACAAATGGTACCAGAAAAAGGAGGCAGAACGATAGCACTAGAGAAGTTAAATCCACTTGACTTCTTCAAACTTCTCCATAAAATCTTAGTTAAATAAGGCAACTTGTTTCTGTCCAATCGTCTTCACTTGTCCTTTCTCCCAAATCAAAAGTCTTACAGTGCAATGGAGAAGATTAGGTTGCCTTTTATATAGGTAATATCTTTTGGTGTGTAATATTTATATATACATTTATATATTCCGCCATTTCCAGATATCCTTCCTAATTCAGCACCCAAAACCTCTTTAACTAACACTCCCATTCCTGATGATCTACCTATACCTAAGTCAACAGATTTCATAAAAGATTTCCCCATAGCCCATTATTATCACCATAAGATACCATGAGATGTGACCCTCCTGAGACAACAAAAACCCAAATAAAGGGAAATTCCATCATTGACCAACGAACAAATATCTTTTGTATTAAATACATTAGCCTCACAACAAAACCTACTAGAGTCACCCAAAATTTGATTGGTTGACAACAATCATACCAAAATCATGAGAATCACGTCCTAATATCTTTTATCGTGTTTCTTCTTTGTCGTGTAACCATGAAAAAAAAATCCACAAACGTATACATATATGCTGGAATTTGATGAGTAGGGCGTAGAGAGAGGTAGCTGAATTATAGAAAACAAACTAGTACACCATTTAGACATCGATTTTCCTTTTAAATGTTGATTGATTTTTATTTCAAAGTGAAACAGATCTTCGCCGATTACTTATTATTTCCGTTCAATCTAAGATATGCAATATAACAAATCAGAGCACAATAATAATGATACAAAACAGAGAAAATAATACATGAACACTTAGAAATATATAAATAAGCAATAAAGAGACGAAACCCTATATATCATGCTTGCACTTACCTAAGTAGATTTTATGCTAACTTGAAACGATTTTGAAACCAACAGTTCCTTCGTGCTGAGATCAAGTGAAAGAAAAACCACCGTTAGATTCTGGTAATGCACCGCTTGATTGTTCGAAAAGCAAGAAAAAAGGAAAGATTAAAAGGAATCTTACAATCCTGCTTCTTCCTTTCAATTTTTCCGCCAAATCCTAGGTACCCTACCGGACCTTTGAATTTGATGGAGATTTGATTTGTGAATTACGCATTCCTGCGCGATCGTTCCTGTAATTGGGGCCCAGACTCTTGAGACACAGCGGATTTAAAACGACGGCGTTTAAATCGTCCGGTTCATAGTGCAGTTTTGCATTGACTTGCAAGTGGGGATCTTTTCGCGCGCATCGCTGGACGACGTCGTCCGATAATTAGCGCCGTTTCTCGCTTATTTTTTGAATTATAAAATTTCAAATATCAACAAACACGCCATTTTCAAATTTCGTGATACGCTGATAAAACTTGATACGACCGATTGGCCTGATCTATTTAAATATATTATTTAGTTCAAATAAATTTGGATAATTAACGTTTTAAATTTATTTATTTTGTTAATAATTAAATCTAAACATGTTAAATATGTAAGGTTAAATCAATTAATTTTATTAGTATATTTAATCCATTTAATATATATATATAGATACATCCATACGTATATAATACATACACAGAGCATATTTGTATACATACTATAGATATTGACATATAAATCTAAAACATACGTAAAATAAATTAATTAAAAAATTTTATTTAACCACTTTATTTTATATTTTACGATGAATTTGATCAATTATATATAAATTAGTAAGTACATTTATAAATAAAAAATTTTTATGTTTAAAAATCATAATCTGTTTATTGAATCAATATGTTTAAATTTATAAATAATATATGAAGTTTTATATACTATATGTACATTTTATTACTCTTATTTCGTAATACAAATATTTTATTTTTAATTTTAATACAATTTATGTAATATTTTTTAATTTTTGGTATGTAAGTTATATGACAGCATTTTAAATTTAGATAAACTAATTAATAATTTAATTTTGAATATCTCTTTTTAAAAAGTCTCTTATTTTTATTTTTTTTAATAAAAAAGGAAAAAGAAGGCCCAGCTATGAATTCATTCACCTACCAGAGCCCATGAGCTCAACCTCATCCCTCTACTTTATCCGGAACTATGCGCACGCCTAAACTAAATTTAAGCTCGCTACTTTTTGGCCTGCACTCTACGTGTACGCACGCAGAGCTTGAAGCAGATAACGCGCGCAGGGAAAGCAGAAGTGGGTTCGTGTTAGGAGCCTTAGAACAATGGCGGTTAACAAAATATCTACACTCTTAAAGCTCTATCTCTTCGCTTATAACTCGCTTCAGGCCATTGCCTGGTTATCTACTTTCTCTCTCAAACGTATTTGTTCGTTCTCTCCGTTTCTATTGTAATTATGTGATGTTTGTTTAATTTGGTGACAGGTTGATGTCTCTTATCATAATTTTGAGAAGCCTAGCGTCTACCAAGTCGATCAATGGAACCTATGCTTCTGCTGGAGGCCTGATCTGTCAGTATTTTCTTATTCCTCGTCAAACTTTAGTTCATAAAATATACTAACCTGCATTTGACGAATGTGGAAGAACGCGGGCTTAATTATACAAAACAGATTGTTTTTAATTGCAGAAACTCAGGAAGGTTTGAAATTATGAAAAGAAAAGGTTGATAATCTTAGGTATTTGAATTTATTCTTTGGTATTTGTTTGTCATTATTATTGTTCATTTTGTTTTGAAGGTGTCTTACAAACTTCTGGATTCATGGAAGTTATACATGGAGCCATAGGTGATTTATTTAAACTTCTGCATTTTTTGAGTGTTTTTTCTTTTACTGCTTGGTTGTTGAATTAGTTTTTGAAAATAATGCTTCAGTTTTAGCTATCCTTTTTTGCTTATTTTCTGTTGCTGTGTGGAGGCATTGTTCCAAGCGGAGTTTTGTCGCCGCTGATGCAGTGGGGTGGAAGAACACATTTCTTGCTGGCAATCGTCAGTAAAATCAAGGAGGTTCACATTTTTCACTCCATTTTTTCTAACTCCAATTAGATATGTAATCCTGGCTTGCAGAAGATGTGCAGTGGATTAAAAAAGAGTATTTCAGGTTATATTTCATGCTTATACTTTCATCTTGGTGGTAAATTTATGTTTGGCTTAGCTTTTGTAGATCCAGGAGTTGCCAGCAGTTTTCATAACATTCCTCTTTTGGAGCCTAGGTGAGGTAAGTTGGTTCCTTCATATTCTTCATTTGAAAATATGTCACTTTAAATTTTGTGGTTATTCAGGTGAAGGCTGCAAAGCTGGAGGATGACAGTCATGAATCCTGGTTTCTTGTTAAAGTTATATAGGGAGTGTATCATGGACGATACTTGCTGTTGGATGGCTACTTCAAAATACAATAAAAACAGACAATCTAAAAAGGAAAAGAATAAAATGTTTTACTCTTATAGAAATTTGACTTCTTCTATTTGACTCTCTCGTTCATGTTCTGGAGTTGAAGTAAGGGCTGCAAGCAGATGGGAAGAGGGAATGAAAATACATATAGTGACTGCGCTATGAAAATTAAATAATTTTGAAAAGAAGTGATATGGTATAGAGATTATAAGAAGTTTACTGAAGGATGAATAGATACATTCAGCTTTGTCCTTTTCCTGCTGAAGGATAAACTCAGGGTTCCATTAAGGATCCTTCTTGGATATATGTTTATTTGCAGTACTGATAGATAAATCCTTTTTTTTTTTTTTTGTTGAATCTCAAGTCTGATGTGGCGAGGTGATCAAGTTTCTAACTGAATATTTGTCCCATTGAGGACGCTTCATGGAGCTTAGAGCTTAAAGCTGATAAGACAGTTGATTCTAAGGCTGAAAATTTGAACTAAAATTAGTTTCTTTTGAAATTGCATCCTTATTCTTCAATTTTTATATATTTTTTATTTATACAGATAATTCTATTTCTATCAAGGTTAAGTTTAAGGACAACCAACTTGGAGATATCATTCTGATAGATCTCTGGGAATTTGTTTTGGGAAACACCTTTGGGAAATTATTGATGCCATGCAATAACACTCCCACTAGTCTTCGAATCAGCTGCTTGACTTTTCAGCCTTGTGGTATCATTTCTTGGCTAAGTGGATTCATTTCATGAATCCTGATTCCCATGCCCATAATTTAACCTGGCTGGATTTGAAGGAAATCAGTCTGATCCATCATATTTCATCTGCCTTAATGTTGAGCTTTTCTATATTGTCCATCTGCATAGCTGTTATTTTCTATTATACGTTTAAATTTTCTCATATAACAAGGACATATTTTCTTTCCTTCTATCTCCTGAGAACATTTCATGGTTCTTAATATCACAGATGTATTTACCGTATATTGGTTTATTTTTTTTGTTTAATGATCTTTCTTATGTGAAATAATGGTAATATAACCATGATGCTGGCTGCAGATAATTAGATATCCACATTATGCATTGAACTGCATTGGAACTTGTCCATCTTGGATCACCTACCTCAGGTTCTTTCTTTTATATTTCGAACTAAGATCAAAATGAGCAAAAATAAAAAATAAAAATAAGTAATGTGTGGCAGCAGAACTTTAAAATCACCGGGAAACATATTTCTTTTGCACTTGAATATGCGTCGCATAGTCTGTATCCTGCAGAATCTGATAAAATATCTACATGTCTCTAGGTACACTGCATTCATTGTGCTGTATCCTATAGGAATTGGTGGCGAAAGTGAGTACATGGACTCTGGTTCATTTTTGTTCAAGATTTATTATCAACTGATGGGATCCTCTTTGGTCAGAGTCATTAAGTTCTTCTAGTTCATCCCTTCTGTCATTTTGTCGTCATTTTTCTGTCTACTTTTATTGATTTGTGTATCAATCCGCAGTATGGCTTATGTTCCAAGCACTTCCTTATATAAGAGACAAGAACCTCTATGCAAATTCTTTTGCTGGTCTCCCCTTTGGCTATTATGATTTTGTCAGGGTATGTTGGACATCTTACTTTCAGACACCTAAATTACTCTGCAATGGATGATAAATTGTTCTTTTCTTCATTTAAACTCTTTGAAGAGGTGTTTAGCTTTAAATTTGAACTCATCATCAACCATAAATAATACACTTCAATCTGTATTCTATACATAATCTGAGGATGAGAGCTTGTTTATCCAATCACCCCAGTTAGGATGGGATTTGATTATGTGCTTGTATACATGCATAATAACACTTCAGTAACGGGTGGATTTCTGTCTTTTTATGTGTGCCTGGGCACGTGGGACACAAGTGTCTTAACAGCTTTGTGTTTGGTGTTTTTCCACAATAAGGGGAAATCTGTGAACTCCTCTCGCTAATTGCTATGCAATAATGATGCTTTCAAGTTCTTGTTTCTAAATACTGTTGATTGTACTTTTGTTAACCATTTGAAATTTTTACTCAGGTTTTGCTTTTGTTCTATCCATTCCTTTGGTTGAAACTTTACATCTATTTATTCACGCAACGTCGGAAAAAACTGGGCCAGCAGAAAGCAAAGAGAAAGATGAAGTGAAGGTCAGAGCTCATTCAGTCATATATGACCCTAGATTGTCAGTGCCTGTTAAATCTGTAACATTAAACTGTAGACAACACATGGCTCCAACTGGATACATGGAATCAGTGAAAGACATGGCTTATCTCTTTTTTTTTTTCCATAGAAGGAAGAAAATTGCGGAAGTTTTGCCTTGCCGTAATTTATTTGGTAGCAAATCTTGTGTTTACCACATGCATGGACATTATAAGTTTTGGAAATTATAAAAAGTTAGGAACAGTGGTTTTCAATGCTTTTGGTCAGAACTAGAAAATTTTGGCAGAATTTGATTATTCCTGAATCTAAATATTTTAAACATGTCCATTACGAATGAATTAGTTCTTTTAAGATCAAAATAGAGCAGCATCATACATTTATATCATTTGCTTTCCAAATAATAGTTGCCGTTGCACATTCATGGCTAGAAGGATTTTATTTCTCGCTATTGAAAGTTTCAGTCTTCAGCATCCTGTTTTCTACTTACAAGGATGCATTTATCCCATCGGCAATCTATACATCATATGGTGTGTTTTACACGACTTCTACAGCATATGGCAAATCCCTATTTTGGTTTGATATTCTACAACTAACCTGTTGAGAATTGTGTCTTTTCAGGACCTGAAGCTGCTTCTGTGTAACCCTGTACTTCATTTCTTAACTTACGCTTGGGTAAGTATGCTCCTTATAACAACTCATGCTTCCACAGTATCTTATGTAATAAATTCATTTTCATATTTGCAACTCCTTGATTTGGCAATTTGACAACGGTAATAATATAGTATAGAAAATAGATTATGTAATTTTCTATCAGCTTAAATTTTTCAGAAAACTAGTTCAAACTTTTTTATTACTATGGTATTAGAATTGGAGATGTTGAATTCAAAAACTTGGGAACCTCATCTCTCTCCAATTATTTATCTAATCCTTCTTTCCATTCCCTACTGTTGGGCCAACTTACTGCTTAGGCTTCTATTAGATATTCATGCTTTTGTGTGGCCTCTTTGTTATTTGGGTTCACTTAGGACTTTGGAAACCTGGTTTCTTCCTATTATTCATTACTTCGTTCTTTCATTGCTCAGTATTACGCCTTCTTATCGTATGGGCTTTCTTCAGGCCTTAAAGCCTGGCCTTCTTGTTGTTTAGTTTTCTGCTAAGCCTTCTTGTAATTTGGCTTTCCATGAATTAGTGTTTCTTTCTAATATTTAATTTTTTATTCTTTTTGGATTTGCGTTGAGTACGTGTGTTAAGATTAAAACTCTCGTTTGTATTTGAGAAGATGTGTTAATAATATCATTTAAATAATATATTAAGTTATTGTTCTATCACATTTAAACTGTTAAATAATTAGTTAACTCTATTACTTGATAGTTGTTAACAAGGATTTTTTTATATGCTATTTTGCTTGGCTTTTTGGGCTTCATGTTTATTACCATTTTTTTTTTTTGGGGGGACCTGCACCATTTTCTTTTCCTTTATCACGTTCTTTAGCATATTGAAATGGTTACAAGTCCGACTTTTGGTTTGGTTAGTACACAATCACTAGTGTTTGTATTGGTAGTTTTTAATAGACAGTGCGTTTGGAAAATGGCATCTAATTATTGGCTCAAATTCTTTAAGCTAACAGCCATTTTGTGGTTTAGGGATCTCCATAATTTTAATTGGCATTTTATTTTCTATATTATCTTCAATCTTTGAGTTCTGTCTCGGATTATTTTAATGCAGAAAATAGATTTCTACACCTAACCCAATAAAAATTGGCAAAAGAGAGGAGACGAACACTAAACAAATGATTTGGTGAAAAACCCAAAGTTCACAGGAATAAACATTTCATCAAAGACAGGAAAAAACAAACATCCAGACATCCACAAAGTTCAAACCAAACAAGGATCCCCAACTTCTGAACCCCTTTTCATCATACAAAGAAACTGAGAGCCCAGTGGCTTAGAAATCAGCAGAAGCGAGCTGCTCATGTGTGCTTGAGCCAATGAAGATGATCTCATAGACAAGGGCTGCAATGCCGGCACCAGCGAAGGGACCAACCCAGTAGACCCAATGGCTGTTCCATGTCCAGCTTACTACAGCTGGGCCGAAGGACACTGCTGGGTTCATGGATGCTCCGTCAAAGGCTCCACCGGCCAAGATGTTGGCACCCACTATGAAACCAATTGCAATTGGAGCAATTATCCCAATGTTACCCCTCTTCGGGTCTATGGCTGTGGCGTAGACTGTGTAAACCAACCCGAAGGTCATCACTATCTCGAACACCAAGGCATTCAATTCTCCTACGCCAGATGATAGTGCAAATGCAGATGTTTCCTGCGTTACACCAACAATAAAACGAATTCAGCCAATAATGATTATAATTATAAAATGAAAAAAATTAGAATTCATTTAGTTGATCGAACGAATCTAGTTTCCAGGGAAAGAACTAATGTGTATAACTATTTTTAATAAAGTCAATGGTTTTACAAAAGTTATAACATAATAACATGTCAGCTGATAAGTGAAATCGTGGAACGAAATTCAATGGATGTGATGAATAATTAATTACCAGTCCGCCGGTGGAGAATTTGAGAAGCAAGCAAGCAAGGACTGATCCGAGGCACTGAGCAATCCAGTACAATACACTCCTAAAAAGACTAATGTGGCCGCCAACAAAGGCTCCGAAGGTGACAGCAGGGTTTACATGTCCACCGGAGATGTTTGCACCAACAGAAACCGCCACGAATAGTGCAAAGGCGTGAGCCAGAGAGGCCGATATTAGACCAGCCGGTGTAGCCGAGCCATAGTTGGTAAGCTTGTCTGCAGAAATATTATTGTTTTAAAATCAAATCTCAAAAGAAAAATTATGTCTTTAAAAAAAAAAAAGTAATAATAGTTATTTTCCATCTGAGACTTTATTTAGTATATGATGAATATTTTTAATTCTCTATATTAAATATTTTGCTTTTATAAAAATAAAAATGTATTTTAAATTATATTTTTTTTGTTTATAAGTTTAAGTTTCATAATTATTCACTGTCCTATATATTTTTTTATATAGAAGCGCATTTTAATTTTAATTTAAAAAAAACTATTTTCTATTTATGAATTAAATTTTTATTTAAAAATCGGAACCAATCATATGCTATTTAGATAATGTAGTGTCAAAAATGTGAAATAATACTAATTAGTTAATTAAAAAGAGGTAGAAATCAGAGAAAAATAGATTGCTTACTGAAGGCCATGCCGGAGCCCTCCCCGGCGAAAACGAAAATGAGCATTGAAATAAACTCAGCCAGAGCTGCCTTCAATGCATCGGGGCGGGCAATTTCCGCCGGAGATCCGATTGCAATTTGTGAAATCGGCATTTTTTTAATTTTAAAAAAAAAAAAAATCAAATTCTACTTAGCTGCTCTTCTTTGCTTGCTTGCAGTTTTCATTTTGCTTGTTCGTTGGTATATATAATACTCGTGAGCGAGCCTAAAACAGGAGTGGCCGGTTTGTCTCGTATGACAGCTTGGTGTCGAGAGGAAAAACGAAAGACGTCCTTCTGGAGGCCACGTGTTCAGTGTCTGCGACTTAATGTGGGACGCGCCTCCAATCTGTTTCTAGCTTGCCACGTGTACGGATTGATGTGGACTCGGACCGACCAATCAGGCGGCCGAGACATATTGATCACAGACAAAAAGTGGTGGCTGTGGGTCCCCGACCCAAATAATTGGTGTGGGTTTTTTTTTCCTTGACCGACCACGTGATTTTTTATGACGAAAAGATAAAATAGGGTGAGGCGAGCGCAATCGGAATTAAATCTACAGCCGTTGGATTATGAATTTGGTAAGGATTACTAATAAATAATTGGTTGTATACTGCATTACTGGCGGTGTTTTGATTTGTGCTCAGTTGAACTTGAGCACACCGTATAAATTGTCTTATGTTTATAGCTATGATGACGTGGACTATATGGTGGTTAATTGTGCTCGATTCATTATCATAAATTAGTATTATCACTAATGAAACTTAAATTAATTTTTTAAAAGTTAATTTCAAGAAGAAAAAATACATAATCAAAAGGGGATAGACCAAAAGCGCTGGACCTTATTTTAATAATATCCCATAAATTAGTATTTTTATTCTATTTAATTATAAATAAATTTCTTATTTATTTATTTATTTTAATTAATTTACATAAATTTATTATCTAATAATCTTTAAAATCTAAATATTAATGTCTAAATTCCATACATGTCCAAGTATGTTTCATCTAAATATGAGGTTTAAAGGGATAGTAGAATCTTATAAGGGTCCTCGTTTGTTGTGTATGTATGTGTATGCAATGTATGATTTCTGCTTAAATCATTTACATACTAAATCTTGTAATATTTATTTTAGACTTTTGCTGAATCTACATTAATAAAAGTATTTTTCGTCTTGAAATTTGTACAAATTTACTTCTTTTAGTTCGGTATGAACAAATTTGAGAATATAATGTTCCGTCGTGAACCACCTTGCCATAAAAACTGAAGAACTATTATTGTTTTGGTACCACGTTAGATTTAAGAAGAAATCTAAATGTTTTTTAAGTATAAAAAATAATTAAATGTAATGTAATTTTATAAAGATTATAAAAAGATTCAGTATGAAATTTTAGAAATTAAACTGAAATATTTCAAGAGAGATAGAGACTAAAACAGTCGACATCGTATTCTGTTTATTAATTATAGTTCAAAAAATATTTATACATAAAGTATAACTTTTTGTATTTACACAAACTTCTCTAAATTTTAACTGTTTATAAAATTACGTATAACTATTATCAATTAACAAATCATCAATTACTATTCTAATATATTGTGTGTATATGTCTGTCTTTTTTATTTTATACATATAATTTTTATTTTTTTTGGTAAGAAACATACAAAAAAAAAACCCACTAAACAAAACAATTCTATTAGGGTTTTTCCAAATTCAGTCGTTATATTTATTTTTATTTTTTTAGTTCTTTTAATTTCTTCTTATTTTTCAAGATTTTCTTTTTTTTTTTAATCTATTTACTACAAAATTTTGCAACACATGTAATGCACATTCTTATTAAAACTAATCAATGACATGACTTATTTATTTGCTAATTTTCTCATATAAAAAATTCGTCTAAATTTAAATATTAAGCAAAAATTCTTCTATAATTTTTAAGTCTATAATGACTACTATCAAAAGTCATATTATTATATAGTCATAAAAATTAAACAATTTAAATACCCTTTATTAAATTACTAGGTAGGCTTGATCCAAAGAAAAGCTCAAATGAGTTGTCAACACTAATTAAAAATTAATTAGGTGATGATGGGTTTATTTTATTTATCATTTAAAATTTGTCTACATAATCATATGTGATCACCAAACCGACCATATTATTAAAATATAAGTATTTATTAATTAATATTTAACACCATTAATTAAATACAACATGGTTTTATTTTTAATAATTTCGTTTTTATTTTTTAACCGGAACAAGATTATTATTCAAGAATGTATAAATAACATCTACTTTGCTCCCACAATTTCTTTTTCTTGTTTTAATAAAATTATATAATTTAGAGTTTAATTTGGACCGTCCAATAATTCATTATAATCAATAAAATAGTTATCAAGTGATACGTGACTAATAATTTAAGAACGAACAATTGAAATTTTAATTTTTTGATTAAAAATTTCATAATTAGAATGCTATATTATAAACATTTATAAATAAAAGTTATATTGGTAGTTTTATATTCTTAAATTTTTTATTATTAACCAATTATATGAACAAAAATAAGGGGGACCATGAAGGTTATAATTTTAATTTTAAAATTTGTATTTAAATTTAATTAAAGTGTAAACATGAAAACAACTTTAGGATTATTTAATAAGCATAATTATTAGAATATTTATTTCGTTATCAAATCCATGATTGATTTACGAAAAAAAACAAAAAAAAAAATTAGTGCTGGTTCTCTTGTGTGCTTCCGTTACATTAAAATAAAACCATATAATATTAAGATTTAAATAATTTTCTAATAATATTTAGTTAAATGTATTTAATTTTTAAACTAAATAACATTTAGGTTTAAAAGATTTTTTTTGCATTATATCTGTAATATCCGAGCCCGAAATTTGGCCCGAAATTAATTTTAAAATTAAAAATATATATATAAATACAAATTTTAAATTTATAAATATTTATTTAATGTAAAATTAGAAAAAAAAATAGGTGAATGATGAAATTGAAAATAATTTTGAAAAAAATAAGTGAAATTTTGGGTTCAGGATTAAAACGCGATTAAAAAAATTATGCCACGTAAGACCGTCCAGTCAGTGCATTTGACGAACATGAGCACGTTGCGTGGTAAGACACGCTAACTCAGTGCCACACAGGAGACCACGTTAGCAATTCGCGTGTCTGCGATCGGACGGCCCGAATGCATTCCCGCGCACGTAAACGGTCCGGATCTGTTCTCTCCTCAAGCGTGATCAGACGGTCACGATTAAATGCAATGAATAGTTCATATTCATTCATTCTTTAAACGCGATCGTACGGTCGAGATCAAATCGCGATGAACAGTCCAGATTCATTTTTTCTTTAAATGTGATCGGACGATCGATATCAAACACGATGAATGACCCAAATTTAAGGGAGACATGTATAAATATCTCACATAACACCGAACCCAAACCCTACCCGTCAGTCTCTCGCTGGAGAAGGGAGTCGATTGCCGCACGTCACCGCGTTTGAGCCACCTCCGATTGGTAAAAAAGGTAAAAATTCTCTTATTCGCTCAAATTTTAATTTTTGAACACCCTCATGGCTAAATCGGAGCAAAAAGAACGACGAATGAGCCAAAAATCGTTGATAAAGCCCAGCGCCGCTGCAGTGGAAAAAATAAAAAATCGCTTCCAATGAGCCCCTTCCCGTTTTTCGTTTCTCATTTCGTGCGATTTTTTCACCATTGTGTTCACTATTATGTTTTATATAGGTTGACCGAAGAAAAACGTCAAGCTGCAAAGGTGAGCAGACGGAGTCGATGCATCAAAAAATTTCACCGCCGGTAAGTTTTTATTTTTCGACTTTTTTTGGCCAACCGATGGCCCTTAATGTATTTTCTCGCATGGATGAG